CAGACAATTTTGTACGCAATTTAATCTAAAAGATCTGAAAATTTAAAGGAGAGATATGCATGAATGTTCCAAAAATGCATTTTTTATCAAGAGAAATTTGGAAACTCTCGAATGTTCATACGGCGTCCTTCCTTAACACGGCAGAATATAGGTACTCTACCCTGAATGCAATAAAAGTTTCCCCTTCGTTCTTAGCGATTGTGCAACCCGCAGCGCATATTGCACCTTCAATCCCAAATGCCGCAACCCGGCATGGCAACGCATCAGCGGCTACTGGGGACGGAAGCTGGTCGGATCAGGATAGCGGCATGATTGAAAACGTCTTTAATATCGGTGCGATAGCGTTTGAATTTAGATTCGGCCGGGGCCACGGGAGCCGTATCGGTGAATTTGAGTGACGCGACCGCGGCCCTTTCCCCCGATTTACATAATTCCCCGTCGCGGTCCGCGGAAATCCCGCCTCGATAGCCCCCTATCGATTCCGCCGATGCCCGAACGCGAAGAACAACCCTAATTTTATCCGACTCGGTGGAGTGTTGTATCAGGGATTTTTGGGGCGAGTCTGGCAACACTGTTTGATTCAATTCGTCCCTCGAGATAGACGGGAGCGATATAAATAAAAAAAATATTTACCCAGAATCGGCCTAACTGCAATTTATGTTGCCTGATTTCCTCTCTTCTTCTCCTTCACTGGAAAAAAACGAAACACATTGGATCTAGAGTCCAGACTCTTGAAAACATTGACAAGAAAAAATACTCTTGATTCAATCAGATTTAAGCTTAAATCAAAAGAAGATCCGCTCAAATTAAGAGGCTTGGTTCTTGATCTAAGCAAAAATCCGATTAAATCAAGAGTAATTTTTCTTGTCGATGTTTTTAAGAGTCTGGACTCTACATCCAATACGTTTTTTTTCCAGTGTTCTTCTTTTCCTTTTTCTTCTTCTTTTCGTAACTTTCGACTGTAGGGTCAAGGCGCTGTTATTATGTTGAGATGCTTGACGCTGAGATTATTCGTAAAAAATACAGTAAACAAGAATAATTGTTCCCTACTTTCGTCGCGTTACCTCGAAAAATGAGAGAACATGGTATAGTGAATTGCAATTGGACTACATTTTTCAATTTGGAACTATAAATTCTAGCCCAGTTTAAAAACAACGTATGTGCCATTAGTTTCCCGATGCACATAAGTGTTTTTTCAGATGAGCCAGAATTTATAGTTCCAAATTGCAAAATGCGGTCCAATTAGCGTTACGTGCTAATTGCTCGATAAAAAAAGGCGTGCATATGCAAAGCCAGAGGCATTTTTGTGGAGTATTTTGCCACTTCTGTTAGTAATTCGATTCGAATGTAAAGTAAGTGGTGTATGACAATGCTGCCAATATGTTGAGTATTCCTAAAATGAAACCATTAAAATGTATGTAAAATTTTCAACATTCAGTGCAAAAGGTGGTAATGTTGCTGAAAGATTGGTTCGTAACGTCACTTGCAGAACAATAAATCGGCAGCAAAAAATGCATCATTCATTCCAGGGCAACTCCAATTTGAGATATATGCCTACAATTAAGAGAACATAAGTGCATGAAAAAAAAACGAAGTGCAAGCTCAACTGCTGGCTTCCATCAGGATAGAAAATAATAAACAGGAATGCCGTTTCTATCATGAGTAAATGGAGTTGGTTTCTTTTGAAAAAACGCCGTTTGCTGTCATAAATGAGGTAGGCGTTAGGCTTCCCCAATCAAGTGGCTGTTTATAATTTTGTCAGCGAACAATTTCATGAACACTAAGCATACTTTTTCAGCTTGAACTTTATCGAGATGCACCAATTTAAGCACTTAGATTTTTTTATAATTTTTCAATTTTTTTTAGATTTGGAGGTGATGTGAGATCCTATTGCAGCCCCGAGCAGGTGACGTCACTAACCAATCTAATGACTTATTTTAGTCGTCCGTCATGTTATTCAACCGATACGGTTAATGACTGCGTCACTTGCAATCAGAGTGACTTCGAAGAGACCTTCGGTGCTTCTAAAAGTCTCGCTTGCACTCACTTGACCCCTGCATGTAGCTATCTCTCTGATAACCAATTTTTGGCACCGATCCGTTTTTTGGTAGACATTCTTGTTGATATCCACGTGTAACTACACAAAACGTTCATGCTTGCAAAGAAATTTGAGAGGAAACCGTTTAACCCACGACTTTTGGAATTTGAGTGGAATAAAAACGTAAGTTCAAATGAGAGCCAGAGACATAGGTTATCTTAAAGCAATTTAGAATCAAAAGTGACTGAGTCAAATGAAACAATTCTATCATGATGTAACGACTAAATGAGTCCATTAGTTTGCGATGGTCAAAGAGTGTCCATCTTAGTCATAAGTAAATACCGCATGAATGTCTGCTGATTTCTAAAAACTACAGCGGAAAATATGTTTTCCGTCAATGTTCAGGGTGGCGATGATTGTTGCTGCCATACTTAAGGAGTAAGAACTCAAAACCGTTTTTTCATCGATCAAGGTGCAAAACTTAAGATACCAACGGATTTTAGTAGCACGAGAAGTTCCCGTCTATTTCATCGAGTTTTCTTGATGTCAAACTGTCATCAATATGATAACAATTTATGACCGACAATTTTAACTTGGATGTGAAGGAGGGCGAATACAGGGTATCTGTATCATCATCTGAAGAGATGAGAACATAAACTACTTAAAAAGCAGGAGCTCCGCGAACCTCACGTTAATGCGATTCCCTCTGTTATATTTCTTAGTATTGTATCAGGGTGCGATTTTTTTATTTTAGTAATTCTAATATTTAGTAATTTTTGTGCAAATAATTTTAGTAGTAGCGTGTAACGGTTAATTTATCAAAATACTGACATGATGTACACTTTTTGACCGACATTAAAACTTAACATTGAACAATAATAGACTAGGTACTGTGATAAGTATTTGGGAGATATGATAATTCAAAAAATTGAGCCCACAACGATAATTCGAAGTCGGTGAGCAGAATGCAGGTATCTCCATCGAGAGGTTCGAAAATCACGTGTCTAAGAATTACTCAAATTTGGGGATACAATGTTTTCCAAAATTCAACAGGCATTTTACAACGAATTTTGGAAAATTGCTCTCCGCAATACTGAAACTACTTTTGGAATGTGAAGATTTGCTTCAATAAGTTAGCAAAAGAAAAAGCAAACATTTCTACCTGCACAAACTTCTGTGATTTAAACCGCAGAATACTTTTGAATACTTTTCCTAGCATGGTACATGAGGCTATAAGTGCTCCGAAAAAAAAGCAAGTACAACAGGTATTGTCATTAATGTTTCTAAAAATGTTGAGGCATTAGTATAATAGCAAATGGAGAGTGCATCTCCTTCGAACAAAATTACTTCACATTCCAGATTTTCCGACGTTATCATTTGGTCATCCATGCAGAATGGTGCTCTGGATCCCAAAAATTTATAATTTGGGAAACAGTAATTACAATGATTTTAAAATAAACTGAAAACAATCGCAGAGATTAAAGTAACGATGCGATTGTTACTAATGATCAGCTGGAATTTTGAACCTAAAAATAAGTTAGAGAAATGTAAGTATTATACATTAATCGAACTGAAACGGAATACCAGAACAGTAAAAAAGAGACGAACAGGAGAACTATTTATCAGCTTTTACCATCGACCTTTTGCGACAGCAATAATAAACGCTCCGATGACTTCAAAAATCAACCCCTAACGATATCGAAATATTCACGAGTATACAGAGAAACAAAGTTACAAAATGCTTTTCGTGATTTTCGTTGCTTTTGAGAAAGTACAACTTTTTCGGAAAGAAAAGGAAGTACAATCCCAAAATTCCGAAAAGTTACCTTAAATTCACCGAAACATGCTAAAATATTAAATTTTCTAATGCAGGGAGCATTATGGCATTAGCTCAATGTAAAACATCCTCCGATTTTGCTTTAACGCATATACTGTAAATGCACAAACGTCTATTAGGAGTTGATTTTCGAAACGTCCGCCGGGTATGGTCTTTCGATGGTGTGATATTCGTTAATACATATGAAATATAATGTTTCAATTCGTATCCTTGTGGTACATGTTTTTAGGATAAATTGACAAATGAATTTACATTCAATCCTGCTGAAACATCGGCAATTTTCTCTAAATAAATTTTTCTTATCCGAAATAGTGAGAACAATTACTCACCCAAGACTTAAGAGATAGTAAACAAAGCTTTGTGAAATCAATAAAGGAAATAATAAAATACAATAATTTTGGTCCCCTGCTCAAACAAGAAGTCTTGAATTTTCGAAATTCCACTTAAAATTCAATATTGTGCATGCATAGTTGAAGCCAATGCTGATTGTTGGTTGAGTTTTTTGGTTAAATGAGAATTCTGATACCTGGCAGGAAATCCAGTCGTCAAAAAAGAAGCTAAGCAAAACATGTGTTATACCAATTTTGATTCCATGGGTGGCGAATTACTTAATGAGTTCTACATTAAAATATACATAATATATCTTCCTCAACGCGAAAGTTTACGTGTGAATTGGACGTATACGAAGATAATGTAATAAATTTAGGCAGTAAAAATATGCTCAAGAGAGGAAGAATAATCTTTCCAAGAAATTCTGAGCTTACTTTCTGGTCTCAATTATTGAGTTTGAAATTGAGTTTATGAAACAATTTTTTACGGAATTTTTTTCCAAAATCATAAAGAAGTGCCTTGGCTCTTTTATACGATATACAACACAACAAAAATATACCGTGGCGTCAAAATACTGATGAAACCGATGACATCAAAATTGGAACAACAATAAGAACAAGGGTTAGTTCAGGAGAAAATCACACAGCTTTAAAACAAGTACGGCACGAACTGAAGTTAGGCAAAAGTTTTCCCAAAACCTGAGGGTATAAAATGCTATTAGAAGGTACAAATTAGAACACAAGACACACTGAAACGGGGAAAAGTGGGACATTTATGAATGTAAAGGACACTTACCTCCGTAATTAGGGCGCACTCTTTTGTCGTAACTAACACTAAATGAATCGAGGATGGCTGAGATATTTACATCACCGTACATGCCCCCTCCAGGAGAGCTGAAACAAGAAGAAAGTTATTTGAGAAGTTGTACAGAAAAGATGAATCTCGAGTTTTTTTTTTTGGGGGGGGGCGGCTTTTATTTTCGTTATATTATCAATTTTTTAGGAAAATTTAAAAAATTATAAAGCACTCTTGAAAGCATTGGGATATCAGCAAATCAGTTTTCAGGTTTTTTTGACCAGGGTCCTTATCCTTGCCGAGCGGTCACTTTAAAACAAATTGAAAATAACACATCTTCACCAACCATTAAACGGACTTATTTCTCCCCTTTTTTTAACGCAGTCTCTTTTTCCGACAACCTCCTTCATAGAATCTAGGTATTTAAAACAATGAAAGTATCCTCATTACTGTAGGTTTTCCTTTGCAAAATTTAGCAGTTTCCTTCACGAGAGCCAAAGCTGATTTTAAAAATAATTCATCAGTTTGCGTGGTTTGCACTTTATTTTCGAATCTTGCTTAATGTTGATATATTTCATGAAGAATACTATGGTGAAATTTTACGTAAAATACTTTCGTGAAAGTTTCAGAGATATGAAACGTGCAATCAGCAGTGAATATTCCGTTGCAACTAAAGTATTCATCTGAAATACATCTACAGCAAAGCTTTGGATTGAAATCCAACAGAATATAGGTCCTGGATGGTCATATATTCCAGAAAGAACAAAAATTCACATTACAAATGTTATTAAATAACAATAAGTACAAGTTCTAATCGGTTGATTTATTTTTCTTCGTTTGCTTCTAAAGAAGGTCGAGTGCACTATAAGCCGCATCTGAACTGAGTGCGAGTTGCATACCTAGTCCATTTTAATATAATTCATATTTTTGGAATAGCCCCCTGACTTTTCATACATTCTATGGAATATTTCATTCGAATTCCATGAAAAAGTTTAATGACTTTTCATGAATACTGTGAATTATATATTTCACTGTTATTCCATCGATTCTTTCTTTTTAATTAATTTAATTTTTATTTTTAAATAATTTAATTTAGTTTACATAAATAATTTAAATAGATACAAGATATATTTTTGTAGTAGTTACGCTATATTTAAATAATTCTTTCTAACAAAATCCATTCATTCCATGGAATAATTTACTGCAATTTCATTAATCTCATGAAATATTTTACTTAGATTTTATGAATTTTACGAAAAATTTATGGAAATTTAATTAGTTTCAGCGCAGATTTCACCGGGTTTTCGTAAATCTCATATAATATTCAAATTAGATTTCATAAATTTCCAACTGGAAATATTTCAGTAACTACTCGCAGGCTGAAACTATTGCGGCTGGCGGCTAAATTTGGCAAGAACGACCCAAGACCCGGAGTTTGTTGAGGCATCATTTATTTAAGGCCAGACTTTCCAGTTTTGAGTGTTGTTCTTAAAACTCCGGCCCCTCCACCTCCCCCCGCCCCTCTTCTCCTCATTGCCGATCAGCGAGACACGTCCTGCGCTGCTCGAGGTCGAATCTCAGCCGGATATCCCCGGTTCCCCAACTCTGAGGCGAGTTGCCGAGCCAGAATCGGCAGCAGCGCCCTCTCGCGTATTTCTCGGCAACTCTTATAAACGAACTTTACGATCGCATTTCCAAGTTTTACCTTAAAATAAAAAATCGAATAAAATGGAAACATAAATTGAAGAATAAACTCCGGAGAGGCTGCGAAACCCAGCGTTGCACACTCAGCCGATTTACATCGGGCCCCGAAAGTGAACGCCTCGCACCAACAAAAAAAGCCTCGACTCCGAGCGCTGTAATTTCGGGTTCAGAGGCCGAAAGTTCCGGCTTAAGGGGTCGTTGCTGAAGCCATTGAACCTGGAACAGCTTTTGAAGCTACTACTCATAGATTCAGAAGAAGCGGCCCACACAGTGGATCGACTTAATCGGAGAGATCGGACACAATTTGGAAACTTTCAACGCTTATATCTCCGTTTATACAAAACTTTGCGGTTCTTAAAGTGATTCCATTGGTTTCCTCGTGAAGTTTTCGTTTAAAAGCACCCCTTAAAATTTAAAATGTGACGATATAATATCAAAATTCGCAGTTCTGGTCGAAAATTCCATGTCAGACCTCTCTAATTGACTCGATCCACTGGGCGGCCGCTGAACCCGGAGAGGATAGCATGTAGGTTAGAAGGTAGAGGGACGTATTGAAATATGGAGCTCTCAGGGTCAAACAGGGCAGCCAACAATCGAGCACAATAAATGTCACTGCCGATCTACATATTCCAATATCAAACCTAGATGGCCAAGAACGTTCGTGAACCTGCCTTACAAACGACGGGTCGTGACAATTGTAAAAATAAATCATTTGAATTCATAGGTTGGTTGCCCTTTTAGACCCTGAAAGCTCCAAAACCTAACCTCAAAATTACCGACGTGTCCAAACTCTCCCTATATGGGTACTCAAGTATAGGTATATCCCAATTCTGGCTGTCAGAGCCGGAGCTTTTTTTCAGTGCTCTTCAGACCATAATAATACTCTTATATTGTGCTACGCTTCTGGTTGGAGTTATTTAGCGAAGGAAAGATCCCTTTATGTTTTTTAATTCAGGGAGGAAAAATTCGGTAGTTGAGTCGTAATTGAGTAACCTTAGCCGATAGATAGCATTGCAAAGACATGAATAGGTAAATCGCGGTGGCATAGCGTGATTTGCAATGTATCGATTGATATGCCATGCAAACCTACGAAAAAAATGTATTATCAGGGCGTTTGTTACGGAAACCACAAGAATCGATTCTTTACCATGCTTCAAATCGGATAATATCGATTCTCGATAGTCACGCTTCGTCAGTGGTAATTTGAAACGATTCGACAATCCAGGCTCAGATTAAAGTCGACTGTGCAACCTGGCCCGAGCCTAAATCCACTTTGCCACGACGCCTGGAATCTTGAATCAATGTTGTCGGATTTCTTGCATTATTAACTGGTTCGTCGATCAGTGAATTTTTAACGACGGTAAAAAGGTTTCCCGGGGAAACAGTTTTATGATTGGAGGAAGCTAAAAGGGGACATAAAACTGCATGCTTTCGCCTCTAGTTGGCTTACAGTATCAACCTCTAGAAGGCGCTTGCTTCGACGCCCATTAGGGACAGCTCCGGTGCTCGAGTTGAAAGTTGCACTGGTTGAGCGGCTCCGATTATTTACACAGTTTACGATTGATCGATTATCGATATTTCCCCATTTAAAGCCATGGTAAATAATCGATTATTAGAGTGTTCGTTGCGAACACCCTGTTCATCGATTCTTTGCCGTAGTCAAATGATTAAATAGTTAAGAGAGGATATAGTTAGAATAGGTAAACTTTATAGGACTTTTTCTCCCTCCGTGGTCATGGTCGATTTTCGATATTTCCCCATTTGAAGCTATGTCATAGAATCGATTATTACACGGAGAAAAAAACCACGCATGCGTGGGACCCGAAGTTTAGGTCATATGGATCTCTAAAGTTTTCAGATAGAGCATCTGAACACTTAAGGTCTGGCTGTCCGAGGTTCGGATCACACATCTGAAACTTCAGTTCTTACATCTGATTTGATTAACAGGAAGTGATGAAATTTTACTTTAAAGAAGTTCATGTTTTACATCAGGCTTAATGGAAGTAGAAACGTTTAGATGTCTTTTTCTGTGTTCTAGCTTAATGTCACCAAGTTTTACTTCGCTGAATGCAGCCGATTAAGCGTTGTCTTGCGAGACAGTCATTCAACCCTACTCAAGGCGCGCGAGAAAGACCGAGGCAGAACGAAGTCGACGATTCCCGCACGAAATCATTTGTACTCGAAAGCCAGAAACTTTAAATAAAACTCGTTTCCTCGGCTCGGGAAAGCTGAGAGAGGCGCGGCGTGCTTTGCGATATATCGATTGCTGCCATTTAAACTTATGGAAAAGGATCGATAAATAGGGTGTCCGCGACTTAGACCTTAATAACCGATTCTTTCCATAGCTTCGAAGGGGAAATATCGAAAATCGATCGTTCATGCCTCGCCGGTGGTCGCGGGTGGCGAGACTGAGAGAACTGCAAGTTGAACGCTCCTTCAAAATAACTCAGTGCAACAATCGTTAACTTACAACTCACCCCGGCGGATAATTTCTTTCGAGGCAAACGGAAAAATGGTTAATAACCCCAGCCCGCCACCCCCCTCCTCCGCCGGGGGCGAAGTTAATCCACTCTCCGTCCACCTGAGGGCGCTTGTGGTGTGTCTAATTAGTCTCATTAATTAACGCGACTTAATGAATCCGTAATAAAGGGGTACGAAAACTCGGCTGCCAGCCGCCAACTACTCTCAAGGTTCGATTGTAATTAGTGAGCCCCCCTCACTCCCCCCTACACCCCCGGGCTCCCCCTCTCCCCTCCGGCCCGTGTGCTCCCGATGGAACGCAGGTGCTTATCGGATTAAGATTCGAAGTTGCGCGCGGAAAAATGCGACGGTGGCGCACAGGTGCCGAAAATTGCAATCTGCGGGGATTTATAGGCGTCGGGCTTGTAAGATCCGCAAATATTACTCCATGGGTCCGTTGCACCCGACGAGATTGTTGTAAGAGACCTGGATTGGTGCCTTGTAACTCGTTTGGAGGAAAAAATGCGCAAGTTTGGTGCAGGATTGTGGGATAAGGAGTCAATTTTAAAAACAGGAATGGAGCTCTTGTTTTATGCAGGGATATGCGATTTAAGTGCTGGATCTGACGATAATTTGTACCGCCGTGCTGAGGAAAAACGCCGTGTGGACACTCAAGAGTTGCCAAAATTCCTTCCATGAACTGCTTATTTTTGCGGAAAGTTATGCATACTTTTCATTGAAATTTTCAGATCTTACAGCTTAAATTGTAAACAAACTTGTCTGAAAAATTGGAGGAAAAATGCTTAGGATTTCCCACTTAAATCGTTTTTTATTTAAGGCAATATGACAACATCTAAAGGCTCCTATGAGGTTTTCCTTTGAGCACGGCAGAGTAAGTGGAAACATGAAGTTTTGCGAAAATTGACCTGATAGC